AGCTAAGGAACAAGGGTCAACTTGGGAGTAAGGCCACAGGTGGGCAATGAATGGCCCCTCCCAGAGGAAATAAAAGAGGAGCAAAAGGGGAGTGGAGTTTGCAGGAGACCATTCCTTTGCTTAATTGGTTTGTGACTCTCCGAGACTCCTTGCCAAGTTTTGCAGATATCAGCCTGGCAGCTCTCCAAGCCAGATGAGGTCTGTGACTGTAAATCCTCCCTTGAAAGACTTGGCTGGATGGGAAGGAGCAGAATTCACAGTCAGTTAATAAAAGGATTTTTTGTTGGGACAACAAGGAGTTTGCTTCAGGCTTTTGGGAAGCCTCGGTCAAAACACTGTCGCCTTAACCACTGTATACACATAGTCCTCAACTTACAGCCAGAATTGAGCCTGGACTTTTGGTCGTAAGGCACTGCAGTTATAAGTCGAATCCCCACACTACCGGACTTGATTTTACACCTGTTTTTAACGCCCCGTTAAGTGGGTCACCACAGTTGTTAAACCAATCACCCCCGCCGTTAGTCTGAAGCCAGCTAATTCAACAGGCCTGGATGGAAATGATCCCCTTGTGGTCTTCTTTCTCTTTGCAGCGCTGGCATCGCGGTGGGCTTCTACGGAAACGGGGAGACCAGCGACGGCATCCATCGCATAACATACTCCCTACGGCATGCCAATCGCACGGTAGCCGGTGTCCAAGACCGGGTGAGTGAGCTGTCCCCGTGGATGAGGGGCAGGTCCAGATGTGATAAACCACTGTCCTCAGAGTCTCATTCACGTGTGGCTCTGCCCTCCAACTAATTTTCAACAGTGATTAACAGAGGGAAGATTGGTTGGCTTTTTTCGGCAATGCTCCTTTAGCTGTCGGTTGTCCTCTCCATAAAAACAGAGTCCAGAGGTGCTAATTTTGTATGTTCTTCTACTCCTGGACACACAATAACAACCACTAGCTTGGTAGATCATATTCTAGGATAGTCTTCGGAAATGAAGACACGAGAATGTATATCAGGATATTTGTTTGCGATTGCTATTCCCAGCACCTTCAAGAGAAAAGGTCCAGGTTCTCTCACTCCTCCAACCCATCATGTGTTGGGTGACGCATGAAGAACAAGCCAACTGTTGTTCTGTTTGGACAATGCCTGGTGACGCAGTAAGGTTGGGTGTACCTTAGCTGGTTCTGTTCATGAAACTCTGAAGTCAACCCTAATCACAGCTTAGCATTGTAGATACACCTTGGCAGATGAATGAACGTTGCTTGAACAGACTAACAGGGCTGGAAGGGACCTTGGAGGTCTTCAACCCCCCTGCTCAAGCAGGAGACCCTAGACCATTTCAGACAAATGATTCTCCAATCTCTTCTTAAAAACCTCTAGTGTTGAAGCACCCAAAACTACTGGAGGCAAATCATTCCACTGATTCGTTGTTCTCACTGTCAGGAAATTCCTCCTTAGTTGTAGCTCGCTTCTCTCCTTGGTTAGTCTCCACCCGTTGCACAACGTGGCACGACAAAACCACGGTCCACTAAAGCGCGCCCGATTAAAGCGCGTCGCTGACGTCATCAGCAGCGCGACAACAACGACCGTGGAGAAAAAAGGGCGGTTTAAAAAGCGCTTTTAAAGCATGCCGATTCACGTAAAGGTAAGGGTTAGGTTTAGGTTTAGGGTTAGGGTTAGGGTTAGGGTTAGGGTTAGGGTTAGGGNCTCCCTCCCTCTCTCTCCCTCTCCCTCCCTCTCTCCCTCCCTCCCTCTCTCTCTTTCTCTCTCTCTCTCCCTCCCTCTCTCTCCCTCTCCCTCCCTCTCTCCCTCCCTCCCTCTCTCTCTTTCTCTCTCTCTCTCCCTCCCTCTCTCTCCCTCTCCCTCCCTCTCTCCCTCCCTCCCTCTCTCTCTTTCTCTCTCTCCCTCCCTCTCTCTTTCTCTTTCTCTCTCTCTCTCCCTCCCTCCCTCCCTCCCTCTCTCTCTCTCTCTGGAATGGAACCCAGGATGGACTCCAGCCTCCTCTTTGGGTTTTGGGGATGCGACGGGGGGGCATATCGCTCGAGAGACGCCACCCCGAACTACTCTTGTCGAAAGAATAGCGTTCCACACAACAACAAGTTTCTCTGCACCTGCGCCTAGTTGTGAATTATTCCTGCGGTGCCACCAAAAAAAAAGAAAAAAGAAGTATTTTGAGGCGCATGAGTTGCGTTTCTAAAAATATTTGCTGGAGTCAGGTTCTTCTAGACGTAGTTAGTAGATCTTAACAAAGGGAAGTTTTGATGGATCGGTTTAGGATGGATCCGGCTAGCTGGACAGGTGGGCTTCTGTTTGCGATTGACGAGCGGTAGAACCGAAAATACGATTTATCTTTGGTCTCCCAACGCCGTAAAAAAGCTACTTCCATCCCACAAATACCAATCTCTCTAATTAATGAGTATTTTCACCCTTCATTTTCTGGGTCTTTTCCCTCTTGGGGGGGCTGGGGGTTTGACATTGAACCAGGGCGTGCTGAAGAAAGATTCACATCCAACTCGTTCCTCTCCTATCGGACCAGTTTTAATACGCAACAGAGTTCTCAACAGAGATCAATGGCTTTCATGACAGGGAAATGAATTGTGATTTGCGTTGCAATAAATTAAAGAGAGGAGGTTTCCCCAACCCCACCCCGGCCTTCTGGGCTGTGTTGAGAATCCCTGCAGGATGGGATCTGGTCTCCTTTGTAACCTGGCGAATGGATATGTCAATGCTGAGTTTCCTGCAGGAATGTAGCATGGTTTCAGGTTGTGTTGAAGGAAAAATTAAACATGCATTGCAGATTTCAGGTAGCAGTGTCCTTTCCAGCCTATATACAGTACACAACTCAATCCTACTTTTAACTTCCTGGTCCCTAGATATATTTTGGATCTATAATGCTGAGATTTTGATAGGCAGGCAAGCAGACAAATGATGGATGGATATAAATTAGATTACATATATAGACATAAGAGATGGATGGATGGATGGATGGATGGATGGATGGATGGATGGAGAGATAGATAGATGATAGTAGGTAGGTGAGATAGATGGATGGATGGATAGATAAATGAATGGATGGTATGTAGATATAGGTAGGTAGGTAGATAAGTAAATAGATAAGTAGGTAGGTAGGTAGGTTGATAGATAGGTAGGTAGGTGAGAGAGGGGAGAGATTTCATAGAGCAAAGGAAGGAGAGAGGGAGGGAGGAAGAGAGTTGGAAGGAAAAAAGAGGGAGAGAAGGAAGGAAGGAAGGAAGGAAGGAAGGAAGGAAGGAAGGAAGGAAGGAAGGGAAAAACCACCTCTGCCATCTTTTCAGCAAGTGTGTTAACTTGACAAGCTGTCAGAAGCTAAGCTTCATTTAATCATGCTTTCGTCTTTGGGGAGATGTCAGGACAAATCTCATTCCGAGTGTGGCAGATATTTTTTCTAAATTATTGTTCTGTGGAGGAGTGAAGATCAGCCCATTACAGGGATAACAGATCAGAGGATCTTTCCTGCAGAAACAGAAAATAATTTTCGGAGCAGGTTCTCACCCCGAAAGGGGCTGCTGTATTTATTTATTTACTTCCTTATTTACAGAATTTGTATGTCACCTGAATTATGACTTCCGGTCATAATAATGATGATGATATGATGATGGTGATGGTGATGATGATGATGATATTAGCATAGAAAGGTAAAATCAAATTAGAAACTAGCAAAATGGAACGAATACTATAATATTGACATAAAAACGATCCATCAACACAGAATCCTTATGAAATTAAGCAGTTCCTGGGCACAACAGATCACAGCAGATTGTCAAGCCACCTGGACTCCAAACTCCAGCTCAAATGATGCCAGGAAAGGAATAATGTGCTATTTTTCATTTGTATATTAATTTCCGAACAAGGTTGTGGTTGAGTTGCCAGCAGTGATGGGGGAATGTTCTTTCTGGCAATTTCTCTCGAGGCGAAAACTCTTCCATCTATTTGACTCTTTTAATCTTCGGCCCAGATATTTTGAGCGATGGATTTGCTCCTCGTAATGGTATGGGAGGGAGTCACGCCAGAGCTGGCTGGTTAGGAAATCTGTGGGAAATCCAGTGGATCACCCTGGGAAGATCTCTGGGGATTAATTGCTCATCCCTGAGTAGAAAGTGTGAATTCTTAGGAGAGTTTCTACTGCACTGTAAAAAAAAAACAAGTTGTCTATTAATTGATCTCTCTTTCTCCCTCCCTCCCTCCCTCTCTTTCTCTCCCTCTCTTTTTCTCTCTCCTCTCTTTCTCCCTCTCCTTCTCTCTCCTTCTTTCTCCCTATTTTTCTCTCTTTCTTTCTCTCTCCCTCCCTTTCTCTCGCTCATCTTTCTCTTCTCTCTCTTTCACTCTCCCTCTCTTTCTCTTTCTTTCTTTCTTTCTCTCTCTCTCTCTTTGTTTCTCTCTCCCTCTCTTTCTCTCTCTCCTCTTTTTCTCTCTCCCTCTCTCGCTTCCTCTCTCCTTCTCCTTCTCTTTTTCTTTCTCTTATTTTTCTCTCTCTTTCTCTGCCCCTCTTTCTCTCTCATTCTAGTTCTCGGAGTGATAGTTGTTTGCATGAGAACAGAGGCCTGTCTCTTGCTTTTTCCAGGTATAGAAAAACAGTAACCCAATAATAACCCAGCCTAAACATTTTATAGATTAAAATGCGATCTCTTCCTGCCCCGAGGCTAACCGTTTTCCGAGATGTATCATTCTTGTCAAAGTCTTAGAACCCAGGAGTTAATATTTGAATTTTGCTGTCAAGTCTGATTTTTCTGCTTGCTTTCTGGGTCTACAACATATGCTCTCATCTACCATGTAAGGAAATCTCTATCTCTCTATATCTATCTATCTGTCTGTCTGTCTGTCTGTCTATCTATCTATCTATCTATCTATCTATCTATCTATCTATCTATCTATCTATCTATCTATCTACACTTATAAAGCCCTTCATGGTATTG